CTGTTGTTAAATGGAGATTTCTATTTGTATTTCTTTGTTTTATTTTTGGTGACTTACAGCTACAATCTTCAGCCTAACCGATATTTCCAATGCTTAATGTCTCATCTAAAGGTTATTACTCTTGCTTCTATAAAAATAAAATTCTAACCATGAAATGCATGATCACCGGCCATCAGCCTTTCCCACTACAATTTCTTAACTCTGCAAAACTAAACAGTACATTTTTTCCCTTGAATTTCTGAAGCTTGTTCTTTCCAGCTCCTTTGAGGGAGGCTACTGGAAATCTCGCTTCAAGGAGATGTTAAAAGTAGATAAGCGTTGAGAAAATTCTCTCTCAATATCTTAATTTGTTAAAATGGAAATTTTAAAAATAAGTGACTTTTGTAGAATCTGTTTGCATTTCTCGCAGCTTGGGCAAGGAACAGAGACCAGTCAGCTTCAGTTTTATTTCTAGTATGTTTCACTTTCAGATGCCCATGCACTAGCCCCTTATTGCAAAACCTGGAGGCCACCGGGGGCCATTTTATTAAAATTCCACTGGACTTGGGCCAAACCGGAGCAGAGAGAGACCCAGTTTCTTTGTTACGATAAAGCAAACAAAAATAAAATATCAGACAAGTAACTTAAAAGATTATTTTCACTTAAATAAAATATTTTTCAATTCATTAAAAGGCGTTTGACAGATGTCTGTGTCTGAGCAGCACATTCTCACTATTTGTCACATTGCTGTGCTGACTATTTTGATGAGCAGAGGGATCTAGACATTTTGCAGCTTTGGGGCCTAATCCTGAGCTGCTTACTCAGTTTTATTCAGACTTTTTGTGCAGGCAAAATTACACTAGCTTCCCATGAAGTAAAGCACTCAGTACTTTTCGAGCACTTTGCCTGGTGCTTTGAAGATGTGAACTGTTTAATAGGCTAACCTTTGGTTCACATTAAGTAATAAAAATACCTGTGGGAGTTGCTTGGCACAACTTTGTGTTTTCTACCACAGAGTAATTCAAGTGAATGCATCTTGCCAGCATTGGGAAATACACGTAGTAACCAGTCCTCCACACGGATTCCAAATAGTGGCAGGATGTGGCCCTGAGTACAGAATCCATTATCAGCTGATAAATGCATTATCTGAATCCTGTTATCATCGTATCTGAACAACTCACAATCTTTAAGGTATTTACCCTCACGGACCCGCAAGGTAGGTCACAGATAGGGAACTGAGGCGTAGAAAGGCCAGGTGACTTGTCCAAGGTCACACAGGAAGGCTGTAACAGAGGAGGGAACTGAACCCTGAGCTCCTAAGTACCAGGCTATGGCCCTGACCACTGGACCATCCTTCCTCCGGGACCCAAAAAGCATGGCTGTAGTCTGTTGGGAGACCTGCTTAACAACTGATAACAGAATGAGACATTTGCTCCTTTCCCCACACAAAACTTCCACTGTTTGTAGTGGCAGTTCTGGGCTACAGGCACCTGGCTCTTAGAGAACCAGTTGTTCTAAGCAACAAAGTCTCAAAAATTCCTGTCTTTCTTCCCAGCTGCTCCTTCTGTCTTAATTAATTGCTCCCCCCCCCCCCGCCCCCCGATTTTGTGCCTGCTCCTTCTCCTGGAACAACCTCCCACGTTAGTATGTGTCACACGACCTCCCTCTCCTCCTTCCAAGGGCTCTTGAAGACCCAGCTGGTCCCCCAGTCGTTCTAGCTGTAGCCACTGCAAACACCGAGGGGCTAGCGCTGTATCCACTCCTGCCTCTTAGACCTCTGCCCTGCGAGCTAGGGGTGCAGTTCCCAGCTCGGGTGCGTATACTCACGCCAGCTCGATGACTGCTAGCATGAGCAGAAATGGCGATGTCGCTACAGTGACCCGGGCAGTATGGATACTGCTTTGGCGGGCCGAGTACAAACCTGCCTGAACCCGGTGGGTACGTACTTGGCACGGCCACAGCCACCCTGCTAGTTATACTCTAAATAGCTTGCAGTCACTGTGCACACCTATGGCACTAATATACACACGCACGCACACATTGATGTGCACCAAAACCACACACCAATGCTTTCAGAAATGGCCTGAGATCCCCGTATAAGCCTAATTCCTGTAATGGAGAACCAAAGGGTAAGCTGCCTTAAAGAGAGAGATCGAGAGGCTTCTGTCCTCCGCTCCATGGAACAATAAAGTGTTAATTGAGAAGTATTTTAATTTCAAATCAGCTCTATGATTAGTGCCCATGTTACTTGGGCATAGGATATGCTGTAAAGCTAGGCAGTATTAATGGACTGTGAAAGGCAATGTGGCATTAGATGATAATGTTCTTGTTTTGCAAGCTGCACAGGGCATAAATAAAGGCGTTCTGACAGAGAAATTCACCGGAATAAATGCTTCTCGGTGCAGTGAGTGAGAATTGATAGTGATGTCACCACAATAGCACAGCCAGTGTTGACATGGTTTAGGCCTAATTTTGAGGGCTTGAGTTAGAAAACCTGATTACCAAGTCATTATTTCTGGCAATTAGGTGACAGAATAACATCTAGGGAAAAGATATTTTGACACACTTAATCAGTGAGGTAGTAACCCTCATCTCGTTTGCCAGAAATATGCAGTGAGACCTTTCGGTAGGGTTCATTGTTCAATGAAAAGCTGCATTGATCAAGCATAGTATTAAGGGTCAGATTGCAGTCTCGAGCAGATGCATGCATCTAACTTCTAGCTTTTGCCTTGGATCTCTCTGCCATTCATCTAATCTGTTTTGCCAGCAATTCAGCCATCCACAGACATTAAACTTCTAATGTGGTTACAGCAGGGGCCTCTAGTCAAGTCTGGTGGGTTTTATTCCCAGCTACATCACAGACTTGCTGTATATTCTCAGTCAAGTCACTACTTTGTCCCTAAATTTAACCATCAGGAAAAGGGATTTAATACTTGCCCACCATTTTGAAATCCTCAGATGAAGGATAATCAGAAGCCTAGAGGATAATCATGATCTTCATGCATCTTAAAAGATACTCCACTATGGCTTCAGGGAGTACACACCATTTCCTTACAGTTTGGCTAATAACAGATTTCACACAGGAGCTGTTATCAAATTTTGCAATTGTGATTTTTTTTTCCAATGTGATCACCTTTAAACACACACAACTTTTTAAAACCGCTCTTTCCTCACCCTAATAAGCAAGTCATTTAACCTCTCCTGAAGGTGGCTTCCTTTGCCATTTTAAATCTTCTAAAACCATCCACTTTCACTGTAAAATGCCCTGATCACCATTTCCCTTGCACCTTACTTAGTGGCTCTGCTTCAGTTTCCCGTCTGTGAAATGGACATGCTACTTCCCTATCTGACACCCGTGAGGCTACTTTACCATAAGTCATGACGAACTTTTAGCTCCTAGAATGGATGCTTCTATTAAAAATGTAAAGTTGAATTTATATAATTCAAAATCTCAAAGGTGAGAAAATACACATTTCATAAAATATTTTGTCTCTTAATGCCTTTAAAAATAAGTCAGCCAACCCCAAAGCTTAATTAAAATAGTTCTGTCTGAAATAGTTCATTCCTTCCTGACACTTTGTTCACAACCTTGGCTAGTTTGCTACTGAATCTACTTTCATAGGGTGTAGATCTTCTTTGTTGAACCCTGGCTGTCTCAAAACATAACTAATGTTTACAACACAAAATGTACCGCTTAATAAATGTGGAACTCTCCTGCTTGCACCGCATCACTGTACTTAAATCCGAGATTAACATCAAGACTGGTCAAAGTCACCCATACTCACATCTTCACAAAATTAAAGTTTTACTGTGCTCAAAATGAGTGCTAAAAGCCCCCAGAGTTTAAAGGGACTGTCTCAATTTCAATTATTTAAAGTTGACATTTAAAAAACCTGCCAGTTTCTGAGAGCACAATCTTAAAATGTGTCCTGAAGCTTTTACAAATATTTGTATTAAGGCAATTTTATGTGGGGTTCTTCTGCTGCCTTGCTGTTCCATAAAAGGAGAAATAGTGAATCTGACCCTATGCAAAGTTATCCCCATATGCACAACAAACTAACAACAGAAATTCTTTTTGCTAGCTTTTTCAGTTTTTATACTGTTAGGTGGTTTTATAACTATAGTACAGATAAAACATTCAGACAGGGAAGTGATTTTCAAATCTCTTTAAAAGTTCCAAGTCTCTAAGTGTGCACTACACAGAACTCTCACAAACCTATACATTGTCAAACAATTCTAAATGATAAATGAGGGGTTCTTAGTGTAATTTGATTTACAAAACAAAAAAAAAGTAAAACACGGCTACTTACATATTGGCATGAAGCCTACCTAACACAGATAATGTAATTCTGAAAGAGGAAAAACCAATCTCCTTCTGATAACTTTATGCAGACAGTACATCTTACAGACACACGTACAAAGGTCAGTTATCAAGTGAAAACCTAAATGCAGTATATACTAAGCTGACATCACTCTCTGACCTCGGAAACAAAATAAATCCTGCTCTCAAAATATTTTATTTCTAAAACACTGTTTTAGGAAATATTTGATATATTCCTACTGCAGTTATCAGGTCACAAATGCAGAAAAAGAGACGGGACATGTGTACAAACACAGAGCCACATGCTGGAGCATCCTGTGACCACCCTGCACTGCACCATTGGCTGTGAAAACAGTGTTCCCAGACCAAGAGATCTGCCAGCGGCATAGACCTTCCCCTTCCTTCTTGATGGGAAGCCCCTGCCCAGCCCTGATCCTGAGCTCCCATTTGAGCCTGTTAAACATAGGGACCAGCCCTGCATATAGTGTGCCCCTTAGTGGGGGAGGGCCAAGGTGAACTTTGATCTTACACCCCTCTTCTCCAGACGTGCACTGTATGCTCTCTGAACCTAGCTGAGGATCTGGCCCATTGTACTGTACTTAAGACGTATTCCTCTCATCATCACCTACGGTGCTCTAAAATTCAGTATTAATTCTTTATCCAGTGATTTTATTTTCAAAAACACACAAGAACGTTCAGATCCTTCCGATTTGGTTACTGTTTTATTTATAATGTTTTGTTACAATCATTGTGCCTAAATATAATCCCGTCAAAAATTGTAATTAAGATGATCCTGCTTTATCATATGAGAAAGCACTTTTCCTCTTCAGTAAAGACACAGGGTTTCTCAAGTCAAAGCAATAAAACCTACTGCAGGTTTACCTGTGTGTGAGGTAAAGAGAATTCCTCCTTTCCAATAGCGTTATAAATAAATATTGCTGGTTTAATCTGGCAGAGAATAAACACCCCCAATACAGGGGTGCTGAGAGAAACTGAACCAAACTGTGCACCCTGTGTATGACAGAAACCCCTTCAAGCCAGGGGGTGCAGCTGCACCCCCAGTTCCAGCACCTACGGCCCAATAGTTTCCACACCAAAGTTTTAATTAATTGTAAATAAAGGGTTTTTTGGACCGTTGACTAAAATGTGTGTACAGAACTGTTCACATTCTACTTCAGCATCCCTAGGGCAAGAATGGCAGCTCCCTCATTACTCAAAGAAAGAAAACGACTTAAAACAAGAAAAAATGGAAAGGGGGCCATGAAGGTAATGCAACTGGAATATAACCAAATGCTCGAGACCCCATTTCCAGAGAGCTGGTACAGATGCAGTAGGTTGTAGATCTCCTATCATTAAGGCACATGGTGAACATAACAGCATATAAACCAGCTTGCTCATCCTTCTGAGTCAAACATTCTATTCCAGTAGTAGAGGAAGGCCGGTGAGTTGCTGGCACCTATAACAATTAGCAGTAGTAGATACATCATCATCATTATAGCAAAACGATGATTGGAAAACCAAGATGACTGACTAGAAGGCCTGTGGAGGGAAAAAAATGCATAAAAAACATGAATTACATCAAATATAATCTTGTCACATTAAGACACATTTATTAAGTTTTATTATTTTTAAATGATCTTGCAAGCTTTGATAAAGATTTTCCTAGCTACTGCATTTACTCCTTTATTTGCTTTGGGATCCCTTTTTGCTTCCTGTAAGTGGAACCATGTCTTGCTTTTGTATTTTTGGATTTTGAGAGAGAGAATGCTGTACAAATAAGATCAGTCTATCTCGCACTTGCACCATGCTCATCATACTGGTGAGTTGAACTCTTACCTCCTGTGTTGTTTCTGTGAATATACTAATAAGTATTTAACTCGTAAAAGCTGATTGTTTGTGACAACAAAGTATTTCTGTGGAACATCGCCCCCTTCGCTGTTTTTTACTCTTGCTCTTTTCCTGTCTATTCCTTCTGAATCTGTATGGGACAAAAAGAGGTTTTCTTGGGAATGGGAAGGAAAGCAAAAGCACATGTATGACAGTAAAGGAAGACGGGTCAAGGCATAGGAGTTGGAGTTAGGAAACAGGGCTCTTATTCCCGGCTCTACCTCAAATTTCAATGGTCCCTCTTAGCATCCCAAAGGAGAATCAGAGTTGTGTTAAGGCTACACCAGCCCCTGCTGGTTATCCCTGGCATGGGGGTACTATGGGTTGGGAGTGGAGAAGGGGCACATTAGAGATAGGAGAAGGCAGGCCGAGAGCACAATGCTTGAGGGGTTGCTAACATCAGAAAGGATCGAGAAATAATACAACAGGATCTAGAACTGTGGGAAGAAAACAGCAAAATGAAATTTGACTACTAGAATATGGGCCTTGTTATGAGTCAAACATGCAAAAGTACAGAAAGCGTATTAATCTTGTTGTTACAGGAATACCTTGGCTTGGGTTCACTTCTGGAACAAATGAAATAACTCTGCATTACAGAACACATTCTGTTATCGTATTGACGCTAGATTAAAACAAAATAGGATGTTATTTTGGTTTCGATACTGATCTAGCAGGGTCCCACTACCAGAATGATCAAGTTTTATTGTTTCCATTTTTGTGGAAAGCTTTTGTAGATTTGCTAATGGGTCATCCAGAAAAGGTGCCCCCTGGTCAGTTTCTGCAGAAGGGAAACTAGTGTACACAGGAGTACATTCTTAGCTGTATTACTGCACGTATACACAACCCAAGACCTGAGGAGTATTAATAGACTAACAAACACTCTAGTTGTAATTATTTTTATACACTCACCTTTCTTCTTCACCTGGCATTTTACATCTGGATGATCGATAATCTCACAAACAGCTACACAACTAAGGATAGGGCTCAAAACACTGTGTTGCCACCCAAGACCGTGAGGGCTATAAAGTAGAGCAAGGCTTAGATCACTGGTAAGGTAGGTACCTTCACCAAACAAGGATGTCTGAAATAGCACAAAGGTAAATCAAGAGAGACTGCATCAGATCAAACACTCTGAATGTCCAAATAGAACAATAATACAGCGTACCACTGCGCTTTCCTTTCCAAATGCCAGCACGCTGTTTCCAAAAGTATTATGGAGCTTAAACACAGCAGTGACATTCAGAAGTCTCAGTTCTTAAACTCCTTAGCGCTGGACTACAGACAGATTTTGTACCAGTGTAACTATTTCAGTTAGGGGTGTGACTTTTTTTTTTTAACGGATTAAGCTAGACCAATATACGCACTTTTTAAACCACACTCAGAAGGTTGTACAGCTTTAACTATGCTGGTATATTTAAAGTGGTGCAACTTCTGTGCATGGACCAGGCCTTAGTGACATTTAGAAACCTGCTTTGCGAGAGAGAAAAATTCTTTTCAAGTGTGATTTTTTTTCTTCCCCAAATGCAATTGCTTTAATAGTTCAGAAACATAGGATTTGCCACCCCATCTAATCTAGCACGCTGCCTCCCACTGTAGTCAATGTGATAACTCATGAGGGTGGGGGAAAAAATCAAAATGCCCTGTGCCCTCCTGGCAAGGTAAAGATTCTTTCTTGCCCTCTGTGACCCTAAAAGTGTGAGCCTTTTAACTTTTTGTTTTCATGTGAACTTTGGTGCTTATGAAAGTGAGGTAGTAAGAAAGTGGGGATGAAATTAAAAAAAAAGTCACTGTTTCACACGTGACCCAGGTTGGTAGTGACTGTGTGTTTTTACTGTCTGGCAGCTATGTGACAACCTACATGAAAAGAAGTGATAGTCCCAGCTAGCTTCTATCAAATAGGTATGGACATCCACAAAGTCGTTCCCCCCCCTCCCCCCCCCCGACCAAATAACATCCTTGTTAGCAATCTCCTGGCAGATGCAAAGGACTCTCAGTTAGCAGATAGTTTCTCACCTTTAGAGGTGGTCCAAGGTTGAGACCTGGGCAGAGAGAGCCTACACTGACCATGTTCCTCTTGGTATAAGGCTAGAGATCTTCCATCTCTAGGGCTGTCAAATAAGCCAGCATTTTTCAGAGGCACTAAATTCATCTTTTTATTTTTAAAGTGAAGGATGGCTACAACCAGGCATATTGGAGAAACGACTATAATTTAATGCCTATGTTTCACATCACCTGCATTTTTTAAGCTCAATCTGAATTATAAAACCCAGTACAATCATATGCAAAGTTAACAGTGTTGCCATCAAGGAAAACAAATAGCAACATGAGATATCAGATCACGTTTTTTTTATCCCTACACAAGTTTGTACATGTGTTTAAAACACCCCTCAGAGTTTGTGAATGAAGGATAAAGCTGTGTGTTTAATGCAAGAAATATTGGAAACCTTACCCTATTTAAATGGCAATGTAAACCATTGTGCAGTATGGAATGGAAGTTCTCAAGGCGACTCCCATGGAATGCATAAATAAGGTTCCTTTCTCCCCTGGTTTCATCAAATTTGGCATTCATCTGATCACAATACACTATTTCAAATAGGAAGTCAGGAGTAGGAACGGCATCACTTGACATTCCTGTCAACTCTTGGATCTTCTCATACTTAAAAACAGAAAGGAATCCTAGTGTTATTTTTAAAAGGTCTAGATTGTTCACTGGAAATCTGCTTAGTCTCTCAGATCCTTTCCTAGTTCCTATATATATTTACCTATGCACATTTATAATTCAGTATTAATACGCAGCTAGCTGGTAATGGTACCATAGAAGATCAAGTGGATTGTGGGAACTGTAAGGGTTTATTTGTCCTCCATGCTCCTGCCCTCTTCTCCTTTGCTGCTTCTCTATGAATATTCATGAGCTTTACTGAGTGGTAAGGTTATGATATCAAAGTTAAATGTCCCCCCACCTCCTCTCCTAATAATGGGACTCAGATATCAGAGTTAAGTGGATGATGCAATGAGACGGAGGAAAGGAAGAGAGACATCTTTATGGTGTCATCATCCCAACACACAAACAAGGCTATGATATAGATATATTCATGAGATATGTTCCTTGGGGAAAGAAAAAAATGTGGAACTAAGACATTTTTATCATTTCCAGCAGCATCCACAACTCTCTTAGGTACTTACATAGTCTCCATTATTGTAGTATCTGAGTGCCTCACAATGTTTAACACATTTATCCTCACAACGTCCCTGTGAGGCAGTGCACATTTTACAGATTGGAACCTGAGGCACAGAGAGACCGTTACCTACGCAAGATCATACGTGGAGTCTGTGGCGGAGCATGGAAACAAACCCCCGTATCCTGCCTCCTGGGCTTGCATCTGAACCACTAGCTCATTCTTCCTTCTCAACACGAGGTGTTTTCTAAATAGAAAAAGTGGCATGGTCCCTGCCCTGAGGCCCTCACAATCTGAACACAGGGTAGGAGTACAACATTCAATAGAGTGGTCAACTGTGATTAACCATATATTAGCAATATAAGGGTTTTGCTAAGACAAACCTTTGGGGTTTTAATAGGAAATAATAGATTAATCACCACTCAGTCATTCACTTGCTTTTGCTGCACACATTCCTCCTTCTGTTCCTTCTCTATTTAGATTTTGATCTCTTTGGGGTAAAGACACTGTCTCTTTATTCATCTATGCCTACCGGAAAATGGGTTCACTTGACATACTTTTCAGTCCTTACAATAAACAACCCTTAAATCCCAGGTTGAGGTAACCACCTGCATGCAAGTGGTTGTGTTAAATAGAAAACTCACGTCATGAAACTTTCATAAGAATTTGAAATCTTACCTCCTTTTTCTTAGTACTTTGTATAGTTAAGAATTTAGATGATAAAATCCAGCTAAACAGATCCCATGTCCTTTTATCTGTGTCTGAAATAGACTCTGGAAGTTCTTTTAAGCTTGGCAAAGCATTTGTATCTGCAAGCTAACGTAAGAAAGATGATTAGTGTGGTTTGCATCTCTTCATCATCACGATTAAATAGAGACCTCTAGTGGTAAGAAAATAATATTTCACTCTAATGGGGATCTGTGGGGTACAAGTTGAAAAACAATTTCCAATTAATTACAAGAATCACTTCTGAAAAACTTACACTGAGATTATGTGGGGAAATTTGTCATTTGTTCTGACATGCAACACTGAGTACTATGTTTGAGCAAGTTACAGGTCTTCTATAATTCTATGATCTATATTCAGCAGCAGCATCCATGGGGTATGCATAAGAACAGTGAGCAAAAACATCTGAATGTGGTCACTACATCAACACAGAGGCAATATCTGGAGTGGTATAAGTGTGACAGATATTGCCATCCCATGTAATATTTTTGGGAACCATACCGTATTAAGTTATGTATCACTGTGGGCATAGGCGCCGACTCCGTGGATGCTCCAGGGCTGGAGCACCCATGGGGAAAAATTAGTGAGTGCTCTGCACCCACCGGCAGCCAAGCTCTCCTCATCCCCCAACCCACCTCCTCCTCCTCCCCTGAACGCGCTGCATCCCCTCTCCTCCACCTACCTCCCAGCACTTCCCACCTGGCCACCGCCAAACAGCTGTTTGGCAGCGTTAGCAAGCTCGGGGACGGGGGGGGGGAGGAGCAGGAACGTTGGCGTGCTGAGGGGAAGAGGCGGGGACGGGGCCAGGATTTGGGGAAGGAGTTGGAATGTTGGCAGGGAGGGGACGGAGTTGGGGCGGGGACTTGGGGAAGGGGTTGGAATGGGGGCAGGGGTGGGGCCTCATGGAAGGGGTGGGGACGGGGGGGGGGGTCGAGGACCCACGGAAAAGAGGGGAAGTTGATACCTATGACTGTGGGCCAGGGATTATATGCAACACCAGGAGGGAGAGTTACCACAACTCCCCCATGAATAAAAACAGTGAGGTGGTGATTACGATGACTCATTTAAGTTGTAAACATCTCCAGAGACATGCCACCCCAAGGAGGCTTGCACATACTGGTTCAAACTGGATTTTCCAGAGAGCAACAGACAGGGGAAAAAAATAAAAGGCTTTTGATATTATTTCACCTGTTAAACCTTTTCAGACTTTCAAACTTAGACTCAGAGGCTTCCAAGTCTACATTTGTCATTTACCTTCTAAATCTCAATTCCTTAATTTATTTTACTGCATTTCAGACTTGCAAAATTTTACTTACCCACTTATATTGGGCAGACAACATATCCATTTTTTTTATCATTAACTGGGCAAGAGTAGGTATTTTGTTTGAGCTAGTAAATGTACATAGTTTTGCATGGCTGCTTTGACTCTTTAGTTATAGAGAAAACAATGTATTTTAAACCTGCTTTATAGTTTCCACTCAACTTAGATATAAACCGTTGGGCCGGGGCCTCATTTTTATGATTGTCTGTAAAGAGCTATGTAGACTTTTGCCCATATATAAGTTATAACACAATATATGCAGTAGTATGACAGCTTTTCTACTTTTTTAATTTATTTTTTTTAACTTCCAGAGCTGTGTACAAATTACACTGCATTTATTTGGAAGGACACCATTAAACCAGTGATTCCCTCCTTCCCCTTATGCAGAGGGCTATGTGCTCAATATGGCATCTGTCTGTTTATTCAACATCACATGCCTGAAAAGGTGTTTTCCTCCAACCAAAACGGAAATTCACCTTTGGACAGGGACCACGTCTGGAAAGTTTCCATCCTAGAGGAGGGTTTTTCAGAAAGTTGTGAGTAGCTGAAAATGTTATAATGGCAGCTGTTTTGCAATTTTCACTCGTGGACAGTGTTCAAACACATACATACAGAGCACAACCTAACAGCCTCATGTGTAGTTAGAAAAATCAAGATTGGGTGAGGGGATTCGGAGAATTATGGTAGCCACTTGTCCTTAACGAGGATCCAAGTTTTTATAATATATGTGCCGTTAATGCTCATTCCATATCTTGCCGCCGCAGGGAATCTGTCCATGTCCTCGGTGTGTACAGAAAACCAGATACATTGAACAGGCTCCAGAATTAAGGGCCTGAAGCAGTAGCTGCACTGAGCAGGGAACTCCGAGTGAATCAGACTCTTACCCCCAATCAGAGGACAAGGGGACAAATTTACAATGCAGGAAAGTGGTAGTGGAAGTGGTAACCCTCCACTGGGTGGAAGTGGTAACCCTCCACTGCACCCCTCAGTCAGCCAGAAAACAAGGGGAAGGTAAGGCAAGCCTGCACAGCCGGTGTGTTTAAACCAGGAGGTGCCAGAAATGGAGTCAGGACTATTCAAGTGGATAATCATGTTAATAATACTTAGCACATTTCATCTTGGAGGCACTTTATAGATATTAACTGATTGCTCCTAACAACACTCCTGCGAAGTAGCATTCAGTGTATCAGTAATGAAAACGAGTGACTTGTTTATAGGATCTGTTCTGGGCTTTGTTTTTACGTGGAACTAATTACACGTGTGCTCTGAAGGAATACCTGCTGCTCTTCCTCTCCCCTCCCCACTCATCCGCTGCCAAGCTGTCCCGTCGGAGGGGATGATAACTCACCAATGCATCAAAATCTTTGCTCTCCTCATTGGCATAGAGGCCTGGAAAGGGTCTCAGGACGGAATCACGCTTGTAGCTCTGTAAAGCAGAGACAAAGAGGCTGCACTTCAGATCCACAGCCAAGATGTCCCTGCGGGTGGCCTCCTTGATCTTCTCCCTCAGGGCAGCATCGCTGGGCCTGCGGGGCAGCATCCCCACCAGGGGTCTGGCCAGGAAACACACAGGGCAGCAGCTCAGCAGAGGTTAAAGCCCTTCCCTAATGCTCAGAGGAGAGGAAGGGGGGGACACACCAATCTGCCACCCCACAGCTGTCCTCACCCCACCCACACACCCTGCCATCTGTGTCTCAGGGATTTACAGAACATGTACCCTGCCCTGCAGTTCCCCTCCATCTGACTGCCCTTGGGCCCCCAGCCCACCCCCTACACTGCCCTCTGGCCTCCTCCTCTCCCCCCTACTGCCCCCCCGGCCCCTATACTGCCCTCCGGCATCCTCCTCTCACCCCTACTGCTCCCAGCCTGCCCCCCCGGCCCCCTATACTGCCCTCCGGCCCCCTCCTCTCTCCCCTACTGCCCCCAGCCTCCCCCCCCCCCGGCCCCCTATGCTGCCCTCCGGCCTCCTCCTCTCGCTCCTACTGCCCCCAGCCTGCCTCCCTGGCCCTCTATACTGCCCTCCGGCCTCCTCCTCTCGCTCCTACTGCCCCCAGCCTGCCCCCTATACTGCCCTCTGGCCTCCTCCTCTCTCCCCTACTGCCCCACCGGCCCCCCATACTGCCCTCTGACCTCCTCCTCTTACCCCTACTGCCCCCCCAGCCCCCCATACTGCCCTCTGGCCTCCTCCTCTTGCCCCTACTGCCCCCCCCGGCCCCCTATACTGCCCTCCGGCCTCCTCCTCTCCCCCTACTGCCCCCAGCCTGCCCCCCCCGTCCCCTATACTGCCCTCCGGCCTCCTCCTCTCCCCCTACTGCCCCCAGCCTGCCCCCCGTCCCCTATACTGCCCTTCGGCCTCCTCCTCTCCCCCCTACTGCCCCCAGCCTGCCCCCCCGTCCCCTATACTGCCCTCTGGCCTCCTCCTCTCGCCCCTACTGCCCCCAGCCTGCCCCCCAGCCCCCTATACTGCCCTCCGGCCTCCTCCTCTCGCCCCTACTGCCCCCCCGGCCCCCTATACTGCCCTCTGGCCTCCTCCTCTCTCCCCTACTGCCCCCAGCCTGCCCCCCAGCCCCCTATACTGCCCTCCGGCCTCCTCCTCTCTCCCCTACTGCCCCCAGCCTGCCCCCCCGTCCCCTATACTGCCCTCCGGCCTCCTCCTCTCTCCCCTACTGCCCCCAGCCTCCCCCCCCCGGCCCCCTATGCTGCCCTCCGGCCTCCTCCTCTCGCTCCTACTGCCCGCAGCCTGCCCCTATACTGCCCTCCGGCCTCCTCCTCTCGCCCCTACTGCCCCCAGCCTGCCCCCCAGCCCCCTATACTGCCCTTCGGCCTCCTCCTCTCGCCCCTACTGCCCCCTCCAGTCCCTTCTCCCCCTTATTGCTGCCAGCCCCCGCTGCCCCCCGCGCTACCCACCCGGCAGCGCCCCCCGCTCTCCCGGGCTGGGCTGGGCTGGGCTCCCCCGCCCCGCGGCCTGCCTCGCCGGCCGGAAGCCGCGGCTGCCTCTGGTTCCCGGGGCCCCGCCCAGCCCCGGCGGCTGCCGGCGCCTCCCTCGCGCACACGGCCCTGGCGGCCCCGGGCTGGGCGAGCGGGGGCAGCAGCCCGCCCGGTCCCCGCGGGGCTCCGGAAAGGGGAGAGACCCCCCCGTGTCTCTGCTGGGCCCGGATCGGGGCCGGGGGACCCCGTCAGCGCCAACCCCCCGCCCTGGGACACCACGGCCCGTGACTGTCTGGCTGTCCCCACATTGTCTGTCTCCCCCGCGATTTCCCCGCCCCCCCATTGTCTATCTGCCTCCCGACTTTCCTTCTGACCCCCCCGACTGTCTCCCCACTGTCCTGTCCCCCCGACTGCTCCCCCATTGTCTGTCTGCCCCCCGACTTTCCTTCTGTCCCCCCCGACTGTCCCCCCCCGATTGTCTCCCCACTGTCCTTCTGTCCCCCCGACTGCTCCCCCATTGTCTGTCTGCCCCCCGACTTTCCTTCTGACCCCCCGACTGTCTCCCCACTGTCCTTCTGTCCCCCCACTGCTCCCCCATTGTCTATCTGCCCCCCGACTTTCCTTCTACCCCCCCGACTTTCCCCCCGATTTCTCCCCCCCCTTTCCTCCTTCTCCCTACTGTCCTTCTGTCCCCCCACTGCTCCCCCATTGTCTGTCTGCCCCCCCTCCCCCCCCCCCCACGCCCCCACGCCTCGTCCCCCCGACTGCTCCCCCATTGTCTGTCTGCCCCCCGACTTTTCTTCTGTCCCCACCGACTGTCTCCCCACTGTCCTTCTGTCCCCCCACTGCTCCCCCATTGTCTATCTGCCCCCCGACTTTCCTTCTGATCCCCCCGACTGTCCCCCCCCGACTGTCTCCCCACTGTCCTTCTGTCCCCCCGACTGCTCCCCCATTGTCTGTCTGCCCCCCAACTTTTCTTCTGTCCCCCCCGACTGTCTCCCCACTGTCCTTCTGTCCCCCCACTGCTCCCCCATTGTCTATCTGCCCCCCGACTTTCCTTCTGATCCCCCCGACTGTCCCCCCCGATTGTCTCCCCACTGTCCTTCTGTCCCCCCGACTGTCTCCCCACTGTCCTTCTGTCCCCCCGACTGCTCCCCCATTGTCTGTCTGCCCCCCGACTTTCCTTCTGATCCCCCCAACTGTACCCCCCGACTGTCTCCCCACTGTCCTTCTGTCCCCCCGACTGCTCCCCCATTGTCTGTCTGCCCCCCGACTTTCCTTCTGATCCCCCCAACTGTACCCCCCGACTGTCTCCCCACTGTCCTTCTGTCCCCCCGACTGCTCCCCCATTGTCTGTCTGCCCCCGACTTTCCTTCTGATCCCCCCGACTGTCCCCCCCGATTGTCTCCCCACTGTCCTTCTGTCCCCCCGACTGTCTCCCCACTGTCCTTCTGTCCCCCCCGACTGCTCCCCCATTGTCTGTCTGCCCCCCGACTTTCCTTCTGATCCCCCCGACTGTCCCCCCCGATTGTCTCCCCACTGTCCTTCTGTCCCCCCGACTGCTCCCCCCATTGTCTGTTTCCCCCCGACTTTCCTTCTGACCCCCCCGACTGTTCCCCCCGATTGTCTCCCCCCCACTTTCCTCCTGTCTCCCCACTGTCCTTCTGTCCCCCCGACTGCTCCCCCATTGACTGTCTCCCCCCCGACTTTCCTTCTGATCCCCCCAACTGTCCCCCCCCCGATTGTCTCCCCATTGTCCTTCTGTCCCCCCGACTGCTCCCCCCGTTGTCTGTCTCCCCCCGACTTTCCTTCTGACCCCCCCGACTGTTCCCCCCGATTGTCTCCCCCCCCGACTTTCCTCCTATCTCCCCATTGTCTTTCTGTTCCCCCAGCTTTCCTTCTGTCCTCCCAATGGCCTGTCACTGTCCCCACCATTGTCTACCTGTGCCACTGACTCTGTCCCCCAACTGTCTAGCTGTCCCTCTTTCCTTTGCCTTTTTTCTCTCCACTCTCTCTTTTTCTCTTTCCCATTCCCTCCTTGCCCACTTTATCCTTCCCTCCCTCTCTCCCTCAATCCCTTGGGTTTTACCCCCTCCCCCGCCTTCTTTCATCTTTGTCCTTCGTTCCTCACTTTCCGTCCACCCTCTCTCTGTCCTTCCCCCTCCCTCTCCATCCTCCCATTCTTTTTCCCTTCCCTTTATTCGTAGTTTCCATTCTTTTCTCCATTCAGTCACTCATTGCACTGTTTTGCTGTCCACTCCCTGTCTTTCTTTCCCTCCTTTCTGCCCAACCCCCATCATGTTCCTTTCCCACTCTTGCCCCAGCAGAGACCTGGGGCGGGTCGACATCTGTACTATCCCAAGATGGGATCATCTGAATGAAGAAATGAAAAGAGAGGAGCTTTGCAGGGTTTCATTGACACCCTTGTAGCCTGTGGCAGAGCTGCCCTGGAAATGTTAATTTTTTCCCCCTTGCAGAAAATCTTGAGAGAAACAAGGGGGGAAATGGTTTTCCCTGAAATCTTCAGCAGAAACCAGGTATTTTCAACAGCAATTTTAATTTAGTCAAAATTGCAGTTTTTCCATCACAAACTAGTTTGACCAGCTCTAGCCAATACCCGGGGTCTGCTTTGTATCCCCTTTCCACAGAAGATGAGAGACTGTGACAGTGCTCAGATAACGAGCAAGGCTCTTTAGCTCCAGCTGTTGAGTGTGACCATCACAAACATGCCAAAACCAGCCCTTGTCCTGTTGTCATCATGAATAGGTCGGAATATGAACAAGAGGCTGCTCGGCAGCTCTCCAACACGAGTTTCTACAAGCCATTACCCTCTGATCCCACTGAGAGTTACCAAAAGCAACTACAGCATTTGCTCAAGAAACTTCCTGAAAAAGCACAAGATCAAATCCGCACAGACACACCCCTGGAACCCCGACCTGGGATATTCTATCTACTACCCAAGATCCATAAACCTGGAAATCCTGGGCGCCCCATCATCTCAGGCATTGGCACCCTGACAGCAGGATTGTCTGGCTATGTAGACTCCCTCCTCAGGCCCTACGCTACCAGCACTCCCAGCTACCTTCGAGACACCACTGACTTCCTGAGGAAACTTCAATCCATCGGTGATCTTCCTGATAACACCATCCTGGCCACTATGGATGTAGAAGCCCTCTACACCAACATTCCACACAAAGATGGACTACAAGCCGTCAGGAACACTATCCCCGATAATGTCACGGCTAACCTGGTGGCTGAACTTTGTGACTTTGTCCTTACCCATAACTATTTCACATTTGGGGACAATGTATACCTTCAGATCAGCGGCACTGCTATGGGTACCCGCATGGCCCCACAGTATGCCAACATTTTTATGGCTGATTTAGAACAACGCTTCCTCAGCTCTCGTCCCCTAAAGCCCCTACTCTACTTGCGCTATATTGATGACATCTCATCATCTGGACCCATGGAAAAGAAGCCCTTGAGGAATTCCACCATGATTTCAACAATTTCCATCCCACCACCAACCTCAGCCTGGTCCAGTCCACACAAGAGATCCACTTCCTGGACACTACAGTGCTAATAAACAATGGTCACATAAACACCACCCCATACCGGAAACCTACTGACCGCTATTCCTACCTGCATGCCTCCAGCTTTCACCCTGACCACACCACACGATCCATCGTCTACAGCCAAGCTCTGCGATACAACCGCATTTGCTCCAACCCCTCAGACAGAGACAAACACCTACAAGATCTCTGTCAAGCTTTCTTACAACTACAATACCCACCTGCAGAAGTAAAGAAACAGATTGATAGAGCCAGAAGAGTTCCCAGAAGTTACCTACTACAGGACAGGCCTAACAAAGAAAATAACAGAACGCCACTAGCCGTCACCTTTAGCCCCCAACTAAAACCCCTCCAACGCATTATTAAGGATCTACAACCTATCCTAAAGGATGACCCAACACTCTCACAAATCTTGGGAGACAGGCCAGTCCTTGCCTACAGACAGCCCCGCAACCTGAAGCAAATACTCACCAACAACCACATACCACACAACAGAACCACTAACCCAGGAACTTATCCTTGCAACAAAGCCCGTTGCCAATTGTGCCCACATATCTATTCAGGGGACACCATCACAGGGCCTAATAACATCAGCCACACTATCAGAGGCTCGTTCACCTGCACATCCACCAATGTGATATATGCCATCCTGTGCCAGCAATGCCCCTCTGCCATGTACATTGGTCAAACTGGACAGTCTCTACGTAAAAGAATAAATGGACACAAATCAGATGTCAAGAATTATAACATTCATAAACCAGTCGGAGAACACTTCAATCTCTCTGGTCACGCAATCACAGACATGAAGGTCGCTATCTTAAAACAAAAAAACTTCAAATCCAGACTCCAGCGAGAAACTGCTGAATTGGAATTCATTTGCAAATTGGATACTATTAATTTAGGCTTAAATAGAGACTGGGAGTGGCTAAGTCATTATGCAAGGTAGCCTATTTCCTCTTGTTTTTTCCTACCCCCCCCCCCCCCAGATGTTCTGGTTTAACTTGGATTTAAACTTGGAGAGTGGTCAGTTTGGATGAGCTATTACCAGCAGGAGAGTGAGTTTGTGTGTGTATGGGGGTGGGGGGGATGTGAGAAAACCTGGATTTGTGCTGGAAATGGCCCACCTTGATTATCATGCACATTGTAGGGAGAATGGTCACTTTGGATGAGCTATTACCAGCAGGATAGTGAGTTTGTGTGTGTGGTTTTTGGGAGGGGGGTGAGGGGGTGAGAGAACCTGGATTTGTGCAGGAAATGGCCCAATTTGATTATCATGCACATTGTGTAAAGAGTTGTCACTTTGGATGGGCTATCACCAGCAGGAGAGTGAATTTGTGTGGGGGGGTGGAGGGTGAGAAAACCTGGATTTGTGCTGGAAATGGCCCAACCTGATGATCACTTTAGATAAGCTATTACCAGCAGGACAGTGGGGTGGGAGGAGGTATTGTTTCATATTCTCTGTGTATATATAAAGTCTGCTGCAGTTTCCACGGTATGCA